AAAAAATTTCCAAGAATCCTGCAGATAACTCCTCCCATCAGACAAGTCCGCCTACAGTCAAGTCCGGACTTATCAGGGTAATTACAATCGTCTGGACTTATCTGTAGGCGGAATTATCTGAAGGTTTTTATCTGAGTCAAAAAAGCGGACCTATCTGTAGGCGAACTTATCTGATGGAGGCCTTATCTGTGAGATTTTAGGGATTTTTGGTCAAGCCCATTTACTCGATTATTCGAATATTCGTTTCTGAATGTGCCAATATTCAAAAAACGAAGCAGAACAATTCAAAATTTGCAGATCGAACAATATTCGTTTGAATTCTGCAAAGTCAACCAATCGCTTCATTCTTTTGTTCAATGAAAATTTTCGTACAGTTACAACTATAGTGATAGCAATCTTAGCGTAAACAAGTTCATATCGATTTTCAGCGCGAGTTCATTAAAAGTGTGATAGAATCTTCACTTAACTCAGACAAGAAGAAGTCTAGCGAAGATACAGAAGACTTTGACGATTACATTGCGTACATAGCTTCCTCAATTCATTATAAAGTTTGTAATTGAGTCTCACTTCAGACCGCAACCTCCATTCGAAAAAACTGCATTTGAAAAAATAAAGGAAGAGGTATTTGTTTGATGGCTTACAACACAAAAAAGGGATTGTATCGCAAACCTTTGCAGGTGCCCCTTACTATTGACAAATCGAACATATTGTTACTTGGTCCATCTGGATGTGGGAAGACTTACCTTACGCAGTGTCTTGCTCGGTTATTGGATGTCCCAATAGGTCAGCCAGCACTTTGACTAGAGTATGTCGTACATTGAGAATCACTGTTGTTCCTTCAGCAATGTGCGATTGCACTACTTTGACGCAAGCTGGATATGTAGGAGAGGATGTTGACACAGTCATCCAAAGGCTCTTGGTGAATGCACACGGGAATGTGGAAAAGGCTCAAGTGAGTAGTCGATGACGAAAATATTGATGTTATCAACTGCTATAGCATGGCATAGTCTTCCTTGATGAATTTGACAAGATACACTCATCATCTGATCCTGTACACTCTCCTGGAAATCGTGACGTTAGCGGAAGAGGTGGGTTTCATATCTCCCCTACAGTTCCTAGCATTTGGGTAGTGAAATAAAAACAAGTTTTCAGATGAGGTAAGTTCGTTGCATGACGTGCAAAGAGCGCTTGAGGGTGTGTCCGGCAAGAGGGATGCAAATGTGTATAACTTCAGAAGACGACTTTTCTCTGATCCCCCAAAATTTTAAGCTGTTTTAAGCTCCGGCTGCACTGCAGTGTTCAATCAAAGCGGGCTTTTTTTTTAAATGAATTTTGGACGCTATCTTGGGTTTTCTAAACAGGGAACGATCCCAACGTAAGGTGGCGAAATGGAGTAAATTACATATCGATGCGTTTTGAAGCAAATTCAAATTCTACCTTCTTTATCTGCGATGTGGTTTTCTGAAAAAGGTAATGAGCGGTTGAATTGTGAGGTTGCTAGGGTTCTATCGAATAATGTGCTTTGGAAATTAGTTTCGGTGTACATAAGTACCCTAATTTCACGCATATAAGGCGCGGGGTGG